CTCATTCAGCTTGAAGGATGTAATATGCTGCAATGAGAGATTTACAGGACGGGAAATTGTCAAACTGTGGGCTCCTTTTGGGGGGCTCCTTCTAGAAAAAAAAAAAAAAACAATTTATGCAAATGGAAAGGCTGGAGATGGAAAGCACTCTGAGACAAAATCAGATGTTTTCGAAATGGGCAGCCGTGCTGAGTTGGCAGATGTTCTGTCGCTGCAGTGGAGACCGATTAAACAAAAGCCGTTGATAGCTCTCCGTGTTGAGGGTAAGCTGCGCCAAGAGCCACATTTCCTTGGAGCCATCTGGGTTACGGCTGAGGATTTGCTTGGCTGGAACTGGTCTACCACAGGAGCACTGGGAAGTGAAGGCATTAATTAAAATGAACACTGATGTCCTTATAATAGTCAATGACCTCCTCTGATGAAAGGGGAAGTGATATTGACATGTGGACATTTCCTCTTATTACCCAGATAGAGATACCAGGACTAGGAAAGATCATTTGAAATGCAGATTTTCAGATTATCAAATGTCAAATAGCTGAATTTTAAAATCTGTTTGGCATGTTATCGTCTTTTGTGTTTTTTTAATAAGACCCATGAAAATATAACATTCTGTCGACATAAGGGAAAGTAAAGGGATGGAGGAGGGGTTATTGGTTGCAATCTGCAAACTTTGTACTGCATATCAGTACATTTTAAGAAAACTACTGCACATATTTTATATTATTGCTCTAAAATGTATGTTCAATATGTATGTTTATATCTTTTAACATATATGTTTAACTTGATGTTAGTGAGGTGTTCACAAAGGCCTGCTTTTGTTTGTGCGATGTGACTGCAGGAAACACTTTTATGGAAATTCTTTCAGACTCACCTAAAAAGCATTATTAAAATCCCCCAAACCAGACTGGTGGGGCAATTTTCAACCAACTACCAAGAGTAAGTTGAAGAGTACCTGTTCTGCCTTACATCCCTGTCAACATAAAATCTGCCCAAAAAGCAGATAACACACAACTTCATTCCTTCCACTGGTGTACCACAGACCAATATGACGTTTAAGCATGTTTTACATTCATGTTTTATGCATATTATGTTGTGCACTGTTTAATTACACTCAAAACTGTGAGGATAAACATTCAAGCCAGGGTTCAATTAATCAATAGCGAATTGTGTATATTCTATTTATCCATTCTCGACATCCACTTCATCCATTTTTGGGTGACGGGGACTCTGGACTCTATCCCAGCTCTGTCCTCCGTCAGAGCAACAGAGAGGGTAAACCCTGGAAAATAGATTAGCAACTACATTTGACATGACTAAACAAGTTACTCTTTTGGGTAACACTGAACATAGTCAGTGACAAAGCATATTTAGAAACCTAATTATGTACTTTACTCGTTAGCCTCCCATGCTCATTAAACTCCTACCCCTGAACAGAAAGTAGAAAAGTATATATTCAGAGAAAGTTTGTGAAAGAAAAAATTGTGACTGACGCTGTGGTGGTTCTTTAATCTACAATAGTTTACAAGGTTCATCCTAAGACATGCTCATTTTTCAGAGGGCAATATTGGACAGTTTCATTTAAATACACAAAATGGCAAAATGAGCTCATCAAAAAGTGCTAAATTAACTAAAATCTATCAAAAAGAGCTAAATTCCTCTTCACATGGAAAGGTTTGAGTTTGTTGTATTTAAGTATTCATTCATTTGGAGATTAACACTTGTAACGTTTTGATTTGAAATGATCTGTAGAAGTCATCTCAGTTGTAATTTCAGTTGATCTCACACTGGACGGTGAGAACCATGACCTCTACCTCCCACAGTCCATACTCGGCTCTGAACCCTCCTTGACCTGGCTGGCATACCGCAGGTCATTCAGACACAGGACCTACCACGTTGTCCATCCCCCACATGACCGCTGGCTAAAGGCTGCCATGACAGACACCAGAAAGACAGCCAGTAACCCAAGGAGAGCCTGTGTGTGTGTGTGTGTGTGTGTGTGTGTGTGTGTGTGTGTGTGTGTGTGTGTGTGTGCTTGTGTGTCGCTTTGCTTCTCACTTTGACCCTTGAAAATATCAGTGGCGGTGCAGCCATCTACAAAGCAGTGTGAAGCTACAACCGCCAGCTGCCTCCACTTCAGAGGAAGAGGGCATGTCAAAACAGCACATGGCTCTGCCCTGCCAGAGTCACACCCGCACCAGAGCCGTTTCACAGGTCATCTGCAGTGGCACAATGGCAGCGCCATTATCCCTTCATCCAGCCTCTCACTGTTTTTGTGCTGTTAGACAACAAAAACCTTTATTTGAGATAAATACACATTTACATGAACTCTTGAAATGGCTTAACGGTCAGCCTATGACGTAGCTGACACACACTTGTGTTTCACACAATTGTTTCTCTCTACATACAAAATATAAAAACACAACTAAGCATTTAGAGCCCTTCCAGTAAGATCTTCTGGTATTTAGTTTGAATTTTGGTTGGTTGTTTGTGTGCATATCTTTGGGAAATTATCACGTGATTTCTGTTACCAAAGTGGTGGTGACAATGGTGACATTTTGAAACATTTCTGACTTATTGAAAAAAGGTTTGCCATCTCCTCGTAGGAACTGTGGCTGTCATTCATAATGACCAGCGGTTCTCCATCAGGCTGTGATCCTTTGTGTGGATCCAGGAAGTCTGCGGTGGGTTCCAAACCAGTCACATGTAAAAAATATTTGAATGCTGCAGAAGCGTCTTGGAACACTTTGTCAAATCTGGACTTTCTCTCAACCTCATTTTCTCTCCAACTTACACCATCAGCAGCAAGACCTTATGTGACTAGTTTAGTTCAAGAATGTGTTGTTTCTATAATAGATGCAACCTTTGCAATCACTAAACAGAATAGTAATTATCTGAGGTTCCTTTAGAAGAAAGGGATCATAACATCTTTCAACATAGAGTTAGACATTTTGTTTAGACTACATTACAACAGTATTCAGAACATTGTTCATTTTTTAACATTGTGTTTTGTCGCAGCATAATTTAAATATAGCCTATTTTCAAGCAACCTTGTGTGGTGTACTGTTGGCAGAAAAGCAGCATAAACTGTAATTGACTTCTAATTGTGTTTGCACTAATGCTATGTCAAGGCAAACCATGGCCTAAATTGTCCGGTCTGTGGGCCATTTGGCTGCAAGAAAGCTCTTGGCAAGCTACAAAACAGGTGAATGGCTATGGTCTAATAGGCCATCTGCGGAAAAAGCATTGCAGTCAATTAAGAGTCCACTTCCTCCAGTTGTGATGGCTATTAGACAGGCCAACCACGACAAGTGACTCTTCAGTGGCTTTTACTCTACAGCTACCTACTCCTTTTCATTCATGGTGTCCTCGAGCTGCCCTGTCCCTCGACTATGTACTTTTTTTGTCTTGTTTTGTTGTCCACTATGTTTTTTTTGTACGCGCTTTGGAGATGCAGTTTTCCACTCAATGATTTTTTGTGACCCTGAGGGTCAAATAAAGCCTCCTTCACTAGCTCTTTTTCTCCCCATACTCCCTCACACAAGATATACAAAAGAGAATTACACTTATATCCCTTTCAGAGGACATCTTTAGAATCGTTACATGTACACAAAAGGCCACTTTAAAAGTCCTCAACATTTATTTAATGTAGTAAAAGGTTTGACTGTATGTAGTCATTGGGAACCATAAACTCTCTTACGGCCTCCTAGAAAGACACACACACAAATTCAGACTTGTTGACAGGCAACTATTCTTACCTCGTCGTAATTTTGAACTCATCAACAACAGACAGCAAACCTGAAAGCTCATAAAATCAAACATCAAACATGTGTCTGTGACATGCAGCTTCCAGCAAAGCACATGACGACTACAGTGTGAATGTGGCACTCCCTGTTTCATAGCCCAGTGACTTTTCTTTCATCAGGTAGTATTTTTCACCCTCACCTGTGTCATCCGACACAAGTAAGTTCAGAGAGAGTGTTTCTTCCAAGTGACAGGAGTTTTATATAGTTTTCCCTTTCACACATAAAAAGATACAGGACGGGTGAATAGTGACTCAAAAACAACATTAATTATTTTCGTTTGCTCCAATGAAGTAGCAGTAAACACTAGTCTTCCTCAAAGGTTGTTTTATCCACACTCAGCGTAACTCACATGGTAGGCTGCAACACTTGTTGTTATAGCAAAGCCTGAAATGTAATCTCCTCAGATGTTGTAGGAGGAAAGACAGATGTTTAAATACAGGGATTCACACCTCTTGACAGGAGCGTAATGAGAGGCTTATCCACCTTCTTGCAAAGCTTGTTGTGTGGCTTTTCTAAATGTTCCTACTGCATGCTTTTCATCACTTCGGTTTTATGTTGAGTGTTTGAGCCTACTTGAAGAGCAACATTCAGTTTTTCAACTCCAATGAATGAGATTTACAGTGATGATTTAAAAAGAACTGAACCTGACCCAGATCTTAGCATGAATGCATACAGTTTGTCTAAATCTTTCTATTGTACTTACATATTTAATGTATACATAATATATACATAGTGAATTGTATAATTTATATTGTAATCAAATAAATCAAATTAATTTAAATACATACTATTTCAGTCATCTAAAGGATGTGAGATTTACATTAAACATAATTATCAAGTATTTATGTAATACAAAGTAGTAGAAAGTAGAATTCTGCAATCCTAATTTTCATGTTACATAAAGAACACTTACTTTAGTGAAAAAATGGGCTTGTAACAATGTTATGTAGTTCTGTAAAATAGCTTTTAATTTAAGTGAAATCTCATCTTCTAAGACGTGTTTTTACTTGAAAGTCAAACTGAACATAATCTGCAGTACTTCCAGCTGAAGCATATATTCTCATTATGATTAAGGCACAGAGTGTGTGTAAGCATCATTGATTTTTTATTCTTTTGCTTTGTATTGCTTCTATGTCTTCTTTATCGACTTTAAAACGTTTTTGGAATGACAAAACAACACTGAAGGATGTCAGCTAGCACTGTTTTTGTGTCAGAAATGGCCACTGAACGCAGGATAGTTTTCAAGAATTTTAATAATTTACTAAAAAAAGAGTGTAAAAGTAACAGATCATTCCCGGTCAGGTGAATCTGTTTGATATTCAAAGTGATGACAGATGTAACAAACATTTGCACTTGTCTGTACATTTGTGTATACTTACTTGGCAACTGAACCTCTTGGCTGTAATTAAATGAGATTCACATGGTACTGTATACTGCATATCAAAAAAAGATATGAATTACATTTAAAGTTGATCAATCTGCATGAAATGTACAGCTCCATGAAATACCAAAAACACATCTGAAAAGTGTATATACAAACATGCTAAGTCTAACAAAGAACATACTGAGGGAGGCTGAGGAGACAGGCCTTTCTAATGTTTACTTGACATCATTCAGGAAAGCCAATAAAATAAAATGCTATTCTTAAATATTTGATGGCCTTGAAGATTCTTGGTCTTTCATTATTAATTTCAAGTACTTTTTTAAGCAAATTAGGAATACTTTATAAATATACAGTATAACATATCTGCTGCATCAATTTAATTTAAATTCATTAAATAAAAAAGGTTCAATTTTCCGTATGTGTAGAAAATAAAAGAAAAGAACTGCATCTTCTTTTTTTTAATTATAAATGTTCATAATGTGCCCACCTCTAAAGAGTCGGCTAGGCCCACCCCTTTATCATTAAGTGCCTGCTTGGAAGAGGTAATATAAATTTATGTATATACATTTATATATATTTATATATATTTATAGTCATTTATATCAAATACTATGACATGATATAATTTGTATAAATACGGCATTTTTACAATTGCATTAAATTGACAAATTTAATTTAATATCCCAAGACGAACAACTGTCAGTTGGGGAAAAGGCTTTGTATCTTGTTTTCTTGTTTTTAAATATTAAAAAATAGTTCTCAAATCTTTGCAAATGTATGCCTTACACACACATCTTCTCTGGTCAAACATTTTCCAATGTGTTGTAAACACATTGGAAAATGTGTTTTTTTTTACATTTACAACACTTTGGAAGGTAACGAAAAAAAGTGCCATTATCAAATCCCCTTATGAAAACCTCTCAACGCCCAGTTGCAAGTCCCGAGAAGCTCAGCTGTGCAGTTCTGTACAAAAGTATAGAAACAATCCTCGTTTTAACAAAGCCATGTGTTTGTGTTGTCATGCCATTTTTGCTGGTCGCACAATCTGGAGTCATGTGGCCCTGCACAGATGTCCCTTTTCACAGGTGTAAAAAGAATCTTGTAGAGCTTCTCTGTATATGTCAACCACAGATGCTTCGAATGTCATCAAGATATGCTGACCACGTGGGACGGGACGGGCGTAGCTGGATCCTTCCATTTTTCTGTTACGCGCTCCACGGCAAGCACGGAGCCCATTATAAGAGCTATACGCTGTTTCGGATCCTAAAGACATCCCATTTTTCCGACGCCGCTCCTCTTAACTCATGGCGCTCCGGCCGTAGGATAGTCCCTGCACTGTAGTTGGCAATTCCATCCATGGCCGCTCCAAAAAAAACAGACAAACAGTGGAGCTCTGGTGCTCTCTGGTGGTCAGAAGGAGGCGCAGACTAAACGTGTGTAACTTGCGAGCCCACATGGCTAAAGCATGTTCAGGACGGCGTTGTACATCTGGATCAGCACAGCCAGGTGGACGGGGAGGCAGGACTGGCGATCCTGTGTGGCGGGCGTGCACGTCAGCCAGGACAGGGCGTTGTACTGCTCCAGCACAAACCTTTGTGAGAAAAATAAAAGCATGTAACGCTGACACACAACATGCAACTGGTCATCCTGAATACCAACAGCATGCGCTAACGTAGGTGTTATATTCTGAGGATTTATTGGTGTCGTGTATTAACCTGAGCACATCAGAGGTGGTTTTGGAATCTAAGGGGTGAGGGGTCTTCTTAGTCTTATCCGACACCATCTCATCTGATTGTGCTATGGATATGTGGTGGTGGAGAGAGGCCTGGAAGGAAGAAACACAGCACACGGTGCCAAATGGTGACGCTTGCAGAGCTTTTTGCAGAAATGTGCAGAAAGGTTATACGCCCTACAAAACGACGGAGCTTGAACTATTTGTGAAAGAAAGTTGGATCATACAACTGCATCTATATTTCTACGCATCTTTGTTTGTTGCTTTTCAAATGTTAAGTCAGACATGCTTTACAAAACACACATACGCTTACAAACTTTTGAGTACCTTGAGGAAGAGTGGGCACTGGCTCTCCGCTTGAGGGCAAGAAGCCCAGAACCAATGTGGAAGTCCGTTTGCTTGTGCCGTTGAGACATAATATCCCAGAGCCAGCGGCTGCTGCTTTAGCTCCTCTGGGGGGTTGTCCCGGGACAGCAAGCGCTCTCCCTGGCTCTACATACAAAAGACCAGGGCTTCAATTATCATTATTACAAAGAATACAAATATAAACACACATTTAAGCCATAAACAAAAGACATTTTCTGCTCTTCAGTTGCTTCCAAACGCAGATTTTTTTTGTTTTGTTTTACAGATCAATGATTATTGAACATCCTGTTCGAGCAGTTTAATACTAGCAACAGCAAGTCCTTAATATTTGTAGATTTTGCAAAGGAACAGTAGGGTGGATATCTCCGTGTACTTGTCAGTTATCTCCCTTCTTTTCCCTTACACTTTACAGAGGTCACTGTGTCATCTTGCCAGTGCTTTATGAGGTGTACAGTATATGGTTCAGCAAAAGCTGTCAGCAGCTCTCTTGAGCCTCCACAACAAATTCCTCAGCATCTATACTTGCTAAAAGTTTCAATTTTATTCCCTTTCAATCATATGAATAGTGAAATTTCCGTGAACATTGCAGAAGAAGAACTGTGTGGGTTTTTCAAATACAATCAATAACTTCTCGAACATGGAAGTTTAAAAACTATTTATGTGGAGAGGCAGCAATCGATCTCTATTTTTCAAATCCATAGGATGATTCCTTCTCTCTGAACTCTGACTCACTCTGGTATTCTGGAAATGTGACGGCGAGTCAGGCGAGGGCACTGGGGAAGTGTTGGGGAAAGGGTGAAGGTTTCCTGTGATCAGCATCATGTCATGGCCAATGTCATTCTCCAGTTCATCAGGAAAGGGAAGATCAAACATGTCATCTGTGTAAAGAAAGAGAACAGAGTCCCTGAATGGCAGGACAGTGTCTACAATCTGGATGTAGTTTATTCACAAGATATTACTGATTTGAATGATACCGTATATGTTTTTTCACAAATAATACAGACAGTGAAAATCACAATATGGCCATGATGTAAAACTTGTATTCAAGCTTTCAACAGAAAAAAAGTTTATACAACATTGCTTCAGATTTCTATATCTGAAGTCAGTGAGAATATTCATGACAAAGCAGTTTCTCTGTTGTCTGCAGGCTGTTACCATTAGTGTCCTCTGGAGGGTAGGAGCTAGGTGCCAGCTGAGTAGTGGCAGAAGTAGGGAAGACTAGAACATGTGTACAGGAAGCATCCTGGGGTGTGTTCAGCTGCGACGTCTGCAGGTTCAGCGCAGTGCTGCGTCCAAACACAGACCCCATGGTCACTGCATCTGGACACGGAAAAACGGAACACAGAAAAAAATCAGCCGTAATTCCAAAACCACTTAACGACTGCATTCTGTTTGAAAGTGTTTTTTTCTTTTCTAGGTGTGTTATGAAAAAAAAAAACATTATCATGTATGGGTTTATTTCAAAACATTATTAATATTATTCAATCAAACAGAAAAAAACCCATCTGACTTAACAAATATCATGCCCTTGCACTCATATATCCATGACTATGTTACTGTTACATAAATGCAGTGGACATACTACATACCAGGCATGATCACCAGGGAGCCCTGTGGCTCCATGGCCACCAGGCAGGCACTGAGGATGCTGGGAGAGTCAGCAGCAGATATTCCACACATGCGGCAAGACTCCTTCAGCTGGCGTCCTATTGAATGGAGGGAGTGCTCCCCAAGGAGTGAGCTCCAGTCTAGACGTGAATGAGGGTGGTGGGATTATGTGAGAGTGAGGTACCAAAAATAACAAATCCAATATATTTTATGACCAAATAAAGCAGCCAAAACCATTTCTGTAAAATTCAAATAAAGCAATTTAAGATTATTTATTTATTCCCATTATTTCCATGCAGACCTTTTTTTATTTTAATCACAGGTGGTATACCATTCTCTCAATAGATGCTTAAGTAAAATGGCACAGTAAATACATAATAGACCAAGTCAATGGCCCTCTTTTTTGTAGGAAATGCACTTGAGGAAGAAAAATTCTTATTCTAAGAATTACTTTTGATCGACATTACCAAATAAGGAAAATACCAATAACCACCTACATACATACAGAGAATATTTCTTCAAAGCATAACTCATAAGGAATGGCACAAGAATCTTGATAAGGGCTTACTCACCTTTTAGCTCCCCATGGCCCAGTCTGCCTAATCGACCAATAACAATCCTCCATGGTAGTGAGGTCATCTGAATGATGCCGATACACCACTCCCACAGCTTCTGCAGCCCAATCTTCCTAGCCGATACCTTGGAACGTCTTGCTCTGGATTTGGTTAGGGGATTATTATGTTATTAGACTTATATCCTTTCCACATGTGGAAATACAAGTCTAATGTGTCTGATGTGACTTTTTTTCTTCCACAGATCTGCACCAAACCTTAATAAATTCCTCCTTTTCTGTCAACGGGATCTATTTATATTTTACACTACAGCAAACTTATCAAAGCATATCTAAAACACTACTGACAACAGTCCCATCCCACCACAACTCTTTCTCATTAATGGATCCAGATAAAAAATAATGGTCACCTGTTGGGAACATCAATGTTGATAATGCAAGTTTCCAGAAGCTCCCCCTGCTGGTCAGTGCAGGACACCAAGATCCAGCGCTGGTCATGGGAAAGGCAGTATCCTACATAGAGCACATTGTACTTTGGCGGGAGTTCTGCCCATATTTCTCCCTGTTCTGGCTGCTTGGGACGTGTTGGGCCAAGAATAAATGGCGGAGAGTACAGCTGTAGTGGGCTGGGATGCTGAAAGAGGAAAACAATGTCATAAATAGTTAGTTAACATTAGTTAAGCATTACAAAGAAAATACCATTTAAGTTGGTTAAAGTTATAGAATCAGAAAATGGCGATGCTCACCTCTGGACCCTTAAGAACTGAACCGACATTGGACACAGGTCCAAAGCCAGTCAGAGACTTGATATGTGTTTGCTGTGGTAGCAATCGTCTGCACTGCGAATAACACGAGAAAGCCAGGGAGCGAAGGTGTTGGAGATACAAATGGTTTTCTCCACTACCTGGCTGGAGAAGATAATGGCATGGAACCACCTAAAGTATAGATAAAAGATTTGTTTAAAAAAAACACGCCGAATGAATTCTGATTAGTTCTGTCATATTTGGTGTAAATTAGAGCATTCTTACCTGTAGCACCAGTGCAGGTCTCATGGCCTCAGGTAAAGTTTGCAGCATCTCTGTGTAACAGCGAAGAAGCCCTAGAAGCCAAATGCAGCCTGACTCTACCTCTTCACCCTCCTCCTCATCCCCCCCGTCATTTCTCATTCCACTTGGGCCAAGAAATGCATCCACAATATAGATAACAACAGCTGGTGTGTTTGCATGGCTGTCCACTGAGTCAGCCCCAGTGGGGATGCCGATCCTCGACTGCTCGGAAAAACTATTCCAAAAAAGAGCAAAAGAGAAAAGTTATACAATATTTGCACGCATCCAAACCATATTTGAAATGGTCATTTTTCTGTAAGTTCCAGTCTTACACTTCAGGGTTTTCTGCTGGTGTGTTAGCTGATGCTGTGGAGTTTGGCGGTCCTTTGGAATCGCCAGATCCCCCTTGATTTGTCTCCCCCATCTGGCCCGAGGTGGCTCCAGTTGGTGTTGAACTATTTGCTGCATTGGCAGCACTTATAGCTTGCTCACCATCAACAGCCCAAGACTGATGCTGTCCCGAAGGTGTAGGTTGAGCTGAGGAGGTGTTGTTTGTTGGAGGCTGGGCTTTTGGAGGCAACAGAAGAGTGCTGTCCAAAGGCAATGCCGAGAGCTGAGGGCCTAGGGGAAGGAAAATCATTTGTTCTTATGTACTCTTCATACAAAGATAATAAAAGAAGCCAAACATAGTATTTTTTTAGATTATATTAGATAAGACTAGATTATGTTCTGTTTATTCTAACCTAGCTGTTGTTTGCAAGCGTAAGCATAGAGTTTAAGTTTGCTGAGGTTGTCGTTGTACTGCTGTCCCGCCCAGGGTCCAGTTAACCACTGGTCCACATCCAGCTCCTCCAGCTTTTCCGATTCCACGTCTTCCCCCACACGGACAAAACCATCTCTGGACATCTTGGCAAGAGGGCGGTGCTTCCCGAGGCGGCATGTCTGAAGAACATAATAATTGACATACTTCACTTAAGGAAAAAAAATCCTAGATTGCAAATTTTGTAGAATTTTAGAGTAATTTTCTCCTTATTTTAAGCCTACCTCATAAACTGTACTGAGCTCTAGGAAGAAGGCTTGGGCTGCTTCCAACAGGGAGGGGCTATTTGGACACACCACCACATAGGCCACATCCCGCTGCCCACCATAAGGTTCCAGCAGCAACTTCTCCCAAAAAGGCAAGGCCAGGGGAGACAGCGCCAAGAAGTCCCTCTCTCGGTCATAGCCCAGTAATACTGTGGGAATGGGCAATGGCTCTGGAGACTCCTCTGAACCTAAGGAATTTACAGATTGTGACATATTTAGCATCACGCTGAGCATCTCTTTTATTTCTATAGTTTAACAATTCTCGTACAACTAAAATCAGCATAGTCAGTTGATGCAGTTCCTGTGAACTCACCGTAGGAGCCTCTTCCAGCCATCTTGTGAAACTGCTGCCAGGTAAGAGGACCCTGAACATGTTGGATGTTTTCCCAGGTCCGTCCTGTTCTCTTCTTCTGGATGGCGTCCTGCAGGAAAGGTTGCAAAGACAGCAGCATACGAACCATATCCTGTGATGACAACATGCTCATATTCACCACTATGGACAACACCAGAGGAACACACACACACACACACATATGCAGAGAGAGAAAGAGAAAGAGAAGGGTAAAAAAGAACAAATGTTAACACAGTTAAATTCACACCAAACATATTTATTTGCCTACAGAAAAAGTCTAAGTATACGAAGAGACAAATAAATGTATTTCCTCACAATCACAATTGTAACCTTCATGATAAATTAGATCTAATGCATATTTTATTGTATCCTAGGATCAATTGTTTATATTTCATATCTGGCAGCCATGCCTTACCATTACTGTGTGGCCAGGAATGAAGAGCACTGCTTCGGACAACAGCCAGGTCCACTTTCCCCCCACTGGGATTATCCACATACTGAAGCCCCTGCTCCAAAGCATTGTAACACTCCAGACAGGCGTCGCTCTCATCTGCCCACTGTTTTTCTGACATCCAGCTTTGGAGGAGTGCCCCCTTGCGGCCATGGCAGGAGCAGCTGAGGGGGAGATGGAGCGAGGCCAGGGAGGAAATGGGCTGCGAGCATTGCTCTTGCAAAACAATCATGACTGACGGAGACGCGGGCGACGCGTCCTGTGGCTGCTTGGACCTGGAGTCCAACATAGTTGGGTTTCGCCGAGAAAGAGCCAGCCTCCTCTCAGCTGCTCTGCCTATCTCAGATGTCCGACCAAATATATCCAGCTCATCTTCCAGGAAGAGGCCTGTCCCATTAGCCAGGCGTCTGTTGACAATAGCACTGAAGCCACACATACAGCGGTATTGATCTTCACATGTCGAATCCGGGATGTATACCCCCACGTCTGCTCCTTTGACATTCATATTGCAGGCACAAATGCAGCAGCTATCAAAGTTACGGTCCTTAAAGACGCCGAGGACGGAGTCTGAGAGTAAAAGGACGACATATAGACTGTGGGCCTCGGGCAGAGAGGGTCCGGGCCGAGCCAGGGGCTCCACGGAGCTAAGGGGCAGGCTAGTGGAGGGAGTGGAGACCGGCGAGCTGAGCTCAGTGCCATCCTGTTTGACAGAGCCCTGTCCTGAGCTTGCGGCATTGATCCCCCTTGGAGTGCGCGGGGTCCGTGGGGTGGGCACAGAAAAGCGTGGAGTTGCAGGAGACGGCAGTATGCCGGTAGTGGTGTTCACAGACGCAGTGGTGCCACTTATCTGGCCATAGTCCTGGTCAGTGAGCGCGTTAACACTGGGGATGTTTCTGCGAAAGACGTAAATCAAATAAAGCTAAATTAAATAAACAGATAAAAAAGACACATCTAACTGTTCGGAAAGTAGCTGATAAAGATCTCTCATTATTAGAGCGCTTCACTTTTCCTTCATACTTTGCATTTATTCCCCAGACAAAATCTTATCATAGAGAGTATTTTTAAAAGCCTACATAAAGCCTCAGCCCTTAAAGACGCAGGAATTGTCATGGTGGACTACTCACGTGTATCCATCCTTGGTGAAAGCAGAATTTTGGGGGTGCATAAGAGTGGTAAAATGCTCCATTTTGGGCAACATAGCCCACGATGGACGATAGTAACACTGTTCAGGAATCTTCAGTGGTGGCAGATTCTGACTGGGAAGGCTGGACAGTGGAGCAAACATGGAAGAACCTATCTGTGGCTGGACAGAGAGGAATTCTTTAGTGGTATTTGAGTGGCAACAGCAGCAACATGGTGTAGTGAGATAAATTGTATTGCAAATACAAGCTCTACATTCATTATCATGAAGGAAATTGGAGCACTGATGGCTAAAACTCACCTTGATATCATCTTGCCTGGGACTAGCCGTGATGTCTTCCATCTCCATCCTGTACTCAGTGAGCTGTGAAGACGCTAACGAAGGCATGTGGTCAGTCGCTCCGCTAGGGGCGGGAGGCTCTTGACTTGGGGTGTCACGATATGGCGTGATGGGAGAGAAGGCTGGGTGCTGTTCTAGGGAAGGGGGGGTGGGGAACATCCACTGAAGTTCTGCTACTGCTAAAAAGAGACACACAGGAGGAGGTCGGAGGAGGACAAAGTCAGATGGATTTAAGAAATTATAGAAATAAGATAATAAGAAATAATAATAAAAACTGCAAAATGTCAACTTAAGTACAAATGATGTCGTTAATATTCAGATTGGAAGCATCTTTATTTAAACAGGAGAACTCATCACTCACTTGATGGATAAGGTACATTAACTCGCCCCTCTTTCCCAACAGGACGATCTTCTGACACTGGTAGTTTGGTCAATTGCTGGTTTGGGTAAACAGTCTACAAATTATACAATATATATATAAAACATTCAATAAATATGCAAAAGATACATTTAATATGCCACAACATTTCCATCATCAGAACCGTAAAGAACAAAATTCAATGAACACTGAGAATTTTTATCATGTGTTTCACTAAATACGAAGCGTGCCTTAAAGAACAATACCATTTTTAAAATAAAATGTTCATGTCTCACCCCAAAATCCTCCTCATTGTCATCAACTATGTTGTCTAGGTCTGAGATGTTGACTTCTAGATCTTTCTCGCTGGTGAAGGAAGGATTGGTTTTAGCAGCCGCGTCATCTTGACTCGAGTCGTCTGAAAACACACAAAGAACATCCATCCGGGAATATTCGTGAGTAATGCACTCTGAGATGTGAGCTGTGCACAATCTACTGAAAAGTATAAAAATGATGAAGATTATATCCCCACCTGACTTTGGAGCCGAGTTAAAAATGGACATAGCATCTTTTCCATCAGACAGTGAACCATTGCTGGTGATTTCTTCTCCCTTCAGAATAAGATGTAAATATGAGTTCCTGTAATCAAGCTCAGTCTGATTTCTACTCAAATGAAACAATAAATATTTTTTAAAATCTCTACAAATGCAGAGCAGAATATTTCCGATCCATAAAATGACATTTTTGGCCCCTTGGTGGAAGACCAACACTAACTATCAATCTAACGAGTTGTAGAAGACTTCAGTAGCGATTTAAACACATTATTAGTATTCTGTTGGCGAGTCACATCACCTGGCCAATTTCAGTACATAATTTAATTCTCCATCAAGCTGGTTTGCTTTAGAACCTTTACAACATTAACTAAAAGTCATCAACTTTCTCTGTCTGTTATTTAGTAGATAGGTCTAAGCAAATTAATTAAAAAATTACTGTTTGCTTTAACTAAATTGATAAAAGCAATACAAATCTGCCATCGGATAAACGTCAGCTTAAAGAATATAAAGAAGAGTTTTACATTCTTCCAGAATTTGTTCTTATTACTGCCTAGTCTTTTTAAACTGCAATATCTTACCTTGGCTTTCTTACTGGCTTCTCGCCCTGACCCTTTCAACCGCTTGGAGAAAGTGTACTTAATATCTCCTTCCTTAAAGTCGTAGGGATCATCTCCACTCTCCCGTAGTGTCTCTATTCCCGGCTGTTCCAACAGGCCCAGGGTGTGGATGTGGTCCTTCACTCTCTCCTCAGAGATTTTATATCTATTTTGAGTTTGTGTGTATAGTCTGGGGGAAGAAAAGAGAAAAACAAATGTAGCAGAAATGTATTCCTCTCCTCCCGCTTGTCTTCTTCTGTGTTCTTGTATATTCTTCCATTCCAAAATCATTTACATGCTTTAACTGGATATGTCTGACATCAGAATACCAGGACTACGAGATAGGAAACCTGATTTTTTTGTTGTTAATGTTTTCCATGCAGTTAGATTTTTGCAGAGGAAGCATGATCCAGAATAAGAATGTCTCAACATGTGGACACTTAGATTACACTTTGCCCTTTTAAAACCAAATGCTATTATCTGTGTGCAACCTTCCTACCTTTTAAGAGAAGTTCCATCACTTGTTGCCTCTGTCTTTGTGTCCTCTAGTTTATCCACCGGGAGATCAGGGGTTCTGAGGTCAGTCTTATCAGTCCTGGGAGTTCGGAAGCCTCTCCACCAGCCCGTCCCGTTCTCCCTCTGCCTCAGCAGAGCTGCATACACAGCTGTTTCACTGGTAATCACTCCCAATCCCGAAGCCGCATCTGAACATACAAGCATATCCACAGGGGCATCTGGAGCCTCTGGATCCTGCATCCTGGGGTGCGGGCTGAGGGTGGGTGGGAGTGGAGACATCGGTGAATGGAGAAGGGACTCGGGCGGTTTTCTGCCATTTGAGAGGGGCTTAGAATACTTGCAGTCGGACAGAGAGCCTAAAGGCTCCATGGGGGGCTCAAGAGAAGCAACCCCCCCAAGGTGGGGCCCCCCAGGTGAGTCCTGTTCCAAGGGGGCCTCCTGCGTGACAGACAGACGATGATGGAAGGGAATCACGGCCGGCCTCTTGGACTGTTTGTCAGCTTTTTCTGCCTTGTCACTGGTCTTGTGTTTGGGCAGGGATGGAGAATATAATGACGGGCCAGAGGACTGTGAGGGGTTGGCACCAGTCTGAGGATTGGCAGCAGATGTGTTGGTCATCGTCAACTTCTGCTGCTTTAACCTAAAAAACAAGAAAAAGGAAATATTTACATAAAACCATCTCCAGGGTAAAGTACTCTTGGAAGTGTGATTAAAAAAGTGGCTAGAATAAATGTACCGCTTGGACATGTTCTGGCTCAAAAGTCAGTGTTTAGAAAGCTGTACACTGTGGAGATTTAAGACTGCATAAAGCTCTGGTCCTTCTCACAGCAGCCAGCAAACACAAAATTAGGCTTAAATGCTGAACACATTCAAATAAAGCTGTTACTAAACAGTTTGGCTCCAGGTTTGTCATACCTGGAGCAGCTGCAGGGCGCTCTGGCTCCCAAATCATTGATGTTCCACGTGGCAACTCCATTTGGCGCTTCCTTACTCTGTGTCACATCAGTTGGCTGATTTTGTCTGCAGGCAACAAACAGATCTGTTAGGGCTCCAGCCAGTGTGAGTATTTAAAAAAGAAAAATCAATCCAAACAGTAAATGCAAGGCTATCATACCCATGCTCAGCCTGGTTCAGATAGCACTCCCTCCAGGCCTGGTGGACCACCTGACAAGTCAGCTTCTTCCCAGAATGCTTTGGGCTGATGCTGGTGATTCCCATGCTGCTGTCTGGTGTAGGAACACTAGAGACCGAGGTCACAAAGCCACTGTCCGCTGGAAAGGCAAAGCATTTTTCAGATGTTACGATAGAGGAGTGAGAAGAGAATTTCTGAGACTAATTACATCCCAGCTACAGGCACAAACGTCTAGAGGGACAGACAAAAAAAATCACAAAAGAGCCGTGGAGGGATGGGCATTACTTCTTGTTCACTCATAGCACTTATGACTTATGAGTTTATACTGGCACTGAATTTCTTGTGCTACAGTAAATTGGATTATGCCTGAGACACACACACACACACACACACACACAACATTATGATCTCAGTCAGCTCTGGAACACTGTGTTCTTTTTTCTCGTGCTGTGCATTTGCAGGGAAACTGATAACCTTTCAGCTGATCCAATCTAGCTTTCAGAGAGTCAAATCTGAATAGATGAACAAATGGAAATAATATGCTACTTCTTTTCTCAATGTCACAAATGCAACTCAATTGTGGGACACTGCTCTCTGTCTTTCTTTTTAAGAAGTTCCTCTTTTGTTTATACATGTGGCTGACGTAGAATATTACAATAATTTTGCTTCAGTAACATGGGGGAGATAAAAGGTTGATAAGCAGGATAATAGTACGGAAAACGTAATATAACCGAATTGATCATATTTTCAACTACCTGGTGGGAAAAAAAGAAAAGGATTGTCATTTCAGCCATGACATTTCAGTTCTCAAATCTTTTGCATGTCTTTAACTCAGCAATAAACACACACAATCAAAATCATGAAAAAGAGATGTGCTTTAGACACTTCAACTCATTCCAGCCAAAGCATAATTTTCCATACAGAATGTCTCTAATGTATCTATTCATTTACGGTTTGTAGATTACATTTTCTTTATGTTTTTTGCATTAAATGTCATGGCATTCACCACCAGCGTTTCAGTAGAGCAAAACTGTTCAGTAAAGTCCACTTACATTTCTGGTTTTTCAAAGACTGAATCCAAAATGCTTATTTTCTTTGATGTTGCACCATGTATGCATGAAATAATCTAACGTCCTGCAGGAAGGTCCATGTCTGTGTATCTGTTACCTGAGCAGGGCTGCTCCGGTGATGTTGGTGGAGTCAGAGGAACACTGCAGTGGTTATGCTCCTTATTGAGACCCTGAGCTGCGGGAACAGGTGGAGGCTGCTCTGCTGGTAGGTCCCACTGGGCGATCAGCACAAACGCAGCAGGGTAAGTCATCCTCACGCCACCTAGAAAGACACAGCAAGATTTACTGCCATGAACCAGGCTATAATTAGCTCTAAGATTAATTCATTTTGTTTTGACTGTAAAGTTTGCCTAAAAAGTTTTCACCAGCCATTCTGTTCACAAATATTTGTAGCTATATGTGATGCTCTAGCCCTCCTTTCTCACTTACTACTTCAGATAAAACACAATCAAGTAAAAATAATCCATCTACATTCTCTATTTTTGTTTGATTTTAGGCTTTCCTCCTTAGATGAAAAAGCCACTGGAATCTAAAGGATCTTTAATTGTAATCAGGTCAGGCTGCCGCTGTGGGATCGGGCTGATTAGACTGTTAGCGAAACTCCCTGCAGTTTATACTTCAGCTTCCCGACTGCTCCTCTTTGTCTTGTGCTTTTGTCTCTTCCCTTCAAGTCATTTTCTCCTCCTCTACTCTCGGATATGTTAAAAACTGTGAGGATCATTGCAGTCAAAGCGCCACAGCCAGTTACTCCTCAAACATGCTGACAGTCTGCACAGAAACTGAGAGTAATAAACTGGAAGTTGATTCCTTACTGTTTGATTTAGTACATGAACATAACTGTGGCTTAATGTAATCATTCATTACTGTGTGCAGGCTGAACGTTCAGAAATGTTCTTCACTATGTGCCGTTAGTGGTAACATGAAACAGTATGCAGAACATGGATTTCAAAGTGGATTGACTCCAGAGCAGACGTATGAATTGAACTTTTCAAAAATGTTTTTAAACTTTTCACACTGCTTTCATTCTTTTGTATGATCATTTTTACCGTACCTACAATGACCTCCACTGCTACATGACAGCTGCGATCATAGGCCTGGCTTGCCTCCTCTTTCTCCTTCTCACTACTTCCTTCTTTATGCTTGAGTACCATTGGATAGAAGTAGCTCCATTCCTCCATGAGTTTCCTTGTTGCTGGGTCACTCATCTTGTAGGCCTGACCTGTTAGAGTACCACTCAGACCATATGGACTCAGGATCACTGCACAGAAATTGAAAATAAAAGTGGGAAAAAACAAAGATTTAAATGAGCAAAGGCTTTAAGCATCATGTTTTTATGTTTTGAATTTTTTTTTTTTTTTTTAAATGTTGGGCATCAAGCAGAACAGTTAAGAGTTTATAGAGAGTTCCATTAACTGTAATTGATCACATTAATCAGTTTTTGACTTGAGGGTTCGTGTTTTCTTAAGTAAAATGTTTAACTATGTCATAGTCTGAATCATTTCCTATTTGTAGTATAAAAATGTTTGAATAAATATTCTGTACTCATTTCAAAATTAACAATTTAATTGTTAGTACTTCTACTGGTAGACATTTAAAAATGCAAACCCTATATAGAAGAAAATTTCGGACAGTTTCTTTAAAAGCAGTGTAAAAAAATGTTGTTAATTCTACATAACTCCCTTATAACAAATAACCGAGCATGATGACTTTGTTCATTTTGCAGTAAGGCCATCAAACACGGACATTCTTGGTGACTTGGTCCCCTTTTCCACAGCAATCCTTCATGTAATTTTAACCGGACGATCAATACTGTGTACGACTTCTGTTTGTAGTCGTTGTATATAAACTGTGTTTAAAAAAAGACTATTTAAGGATGTTACCCTGCACTGGTGTGGTGGAGGTCTGCGCTAGCTGGATGTGGTGCTCTGTGATGTGGTACGCAGGCTGGTGCTGGACAATCTCCACGCTTGTGCACACGTTGCTCTCCCCATGGAGGAAGAAGGAGAAGGAACATGATAGCTGTTCGCTGTGGACAAAAACAGCTGAGAGTTAGAAAATGAGATCTCGGAGAGACATAAACAGCGCAGAGAAAAAAACTGTAAGCATGAGGGGCAAAGTTTATGCTCTTGAGTTTGTTTGTTCACAACCAAAATGAATGGCTGCAAATATGGGCTTGTCTAAATAATCAGATCCCTCTCTCACTGAACATCTTCATTATATTGCATTTTACTGACAAGTGAATTACATTCAGATTTAAATAGAATAAAAAATACATCTGAATATTTCATTCATTCATATAAAGCAGGTTTCGATGTAAGATGAGCTGAAAATGTTACATGCACATATGACTTCCACAACACAAACTCAGATCTTTTCTCTAAACATCTTTCTCAGTTACTGAGTAAAGACTTTACTAAGCCCTGCTGTCACTGATCTTCTTCATTAGCTCTTACATATGTTCCTTAATGCAGGTATAAATCCTTGTTTGTTTATGACTGATTGGGCAAGCTACATGTTTACATATGCTGTGCACTTTTTACTGCTCAGCATGCGCAGCGTTCCATCATGCGCTGCTCTTTTTTTAATCATGAAGAAATAATTGTTGCGGTTTTATTGCAATCTATGCAGCGGTGGGAGGTCTGGACATCATTAATGACCTCAACAGCTTCACTGATGTATATTTTTAATCTATAAACCTCCTTACTACCATGGTTTATATATATCAGAATGACAATAAAGTCAGCAGGTACTGTAATCGCTTTGTGATTACCCTGCTGCCTATGCAATATCCCCTTTGCCCTAAGGGAGTTGGATCTCCATTTGAGCCGTAATGGATCATCAAATTCAATAAAATGGCCAGTTCCACACTCATGGTCACAGCTAAACACAGTCTCTCTGAGCCAGATAGCTTACTGTTGACCATGGCAGCCTCCAGATGGCGCTTAATGCACCCAACGGTAGAGAAAGCCAATTTTTCTGCTTCATAAACATTCCTGATGCTCCCAGAGAAAAACACACCATCGTGACAGCAGGTGGTTTGAATACAGGTCTGCGCAATCACAGGAGGGAAAACAAAGCTAAAGCATATACATATGCATGCCTGCGCCAAACAAGCACAAAGGCACAAGACGCCTTTACTTCTGCTGGCACTCCTCCACAAACACACACGCACAAAACACAGCAGCAGTCAGTCAGTTTTGCAGTTCAAAACCTGTACAAAAGATGAGTCAAAATGCTTTCAATGTCACTGCCCTCCAACCTCGTCCTCGGTGCATCATTTCAACATATGAGGGGCTATATTTAGCTGCATGGGGAAACAGCTGCAAGTCAAGGGTAACAGTCTGCTCCACACACATACTCTCGACCACAACTAACATTTAGGGTTGTTGAACTTCCTTGATGTCCTAGGCTCGCATTTACTCTTAATACACTCAAATCTCTGTGCAGTCATGAGCAGGCGGGCTTTGACAGCGGTTCAACAACTCACTCCCAAAGGAGAATGTCACATCTGTGTTGGTCCACAGCGCTAAACACTACAGTTTAACAATAAACGCCCGTAGACTGTTTCCCCTCATACAATGCCCTTTAGAAACAGTTTTATACGCAGTTTATGTCCAACAAGAGACCATTCCTCACTGCGTGATGCCACTGACATTCACGACTTACCACATGATGATGCAAATGTGCTTAACTGTGGACTTAAGTGGTGTGGGCCACCTATACCACAAAATATTTTCACTTATAATTTCACATAACTTCACACAAACATAATAAACTCAAATAATGAAATTTTTGCTACAAAAACCGCTCATTTGAATGACAAGGACAAATGTGGTTAGACCTCACAAAATCTGTGGTTAGTTCAAATATTTTACCATTCATGGTTTGGCGGTTCCTGGCACGTCACGTAGATGCTGTCCTTTATAAAACAGGAGCCAATTAATGAGCTCCAATATCAATATTTATAACATGGGTCTACTTTGTTTAGAAAATTTGCAGAAATGTGGCTGTGGAAGATTTCTGGTAAGGCTGGACTGCGTTCACAATAACCGCCTTCTGATAGGTTGTACCTTTACTGTATGTGAACTCTAACAACGGCTACTCAAAACTGATTTTGATGATGTAATATTTAAAGAAGATGCCATGTTTAGCCGGGTTAATAAACCAACATAATTAAAGCCGGTCAAACTGATATCTAATCCATAACTACAGTAACATAAGATCATTTGCAACTGCAATCAAATCCATCAACATGAAAGTTAGGAAATAGTAAAGGTGCAAAAAGAGCATCAAACCAGAGTCTGACCCAGCAGGGAGACTGATGCACCCTGTCCTTTTACAAAGGGCATTTTCCTGCAAAGTAAGCGGGTGTGAGTGTGTGGACACACCAGGCTCCTTGCATTCTCTGGGGATTTTGTGCAGAATGTGTATGTGTGAGAACAGCAGACAGATACGTGAGGCGGCTGTGTGTGCTTGGCTGTACGAGTACAGGTATTAATAAATGAAGAGGAGTGATGGCTGAGACATGCCTAAGGGCTGACAGTACAGGCAAAGATAAAAAAAAAAGATAACTAGGGCAGGGGGGGGGGGGGATACGCAAGAAAAGAAGATGGAGGCAGAGAGAATTAAGGACGTGCCTGAGTAAGATTGAGACAAAATGAGAAAGTAGCTGAATAGAAAGGAAATTAGACAGACAGGGAAGAAACACTCCATAAAAAATGAGGAATGGAAGCAAAACCAGTGTAAGAGAAAGGAGAGGAAGTGAATTATTCAGAGCCACACACTGAAGCTGCTGCACACATATCGGTGAGATCAGAGTTTTAATGGGCAGATACTGAGCACAATTTTATGGTGAAATCAATCAGGTAATATAGAGCCACAGAACACATAGACACATCAAAGACCGTCTCTGTGAATGTGACATTTAGTTCAAGATGTAATGCATTTGTTTCAACCCTTATGTTCTAAAGTCAGATTTGATTCAATTGAACAAATGACAGTGACTCTCCTGTATGCACAATCACATCAGAGAAAGCACATTATAATTGGTGATATATATGAATGAATATATACATACAGTTTGGACAACATTTGAACATGCAAAGTACACTCAAAGTGTGTTTGACTCTCATAGACAACTAGCGAGAAAGGCAATGAGTCAGGTCCGTGTTACAACATATATTTTCACTCTGCAACGACACTGCCGGTCAACCAGACAATCTGCAGGGGAGATAGTCCATGTCCAAAATGCATTATGGGAACACATACCACGGACACGCTTACAAAGAACAAATCCTTAAGCTGCATCGATATCTTATCCAAAGGGCAAAACAATCTGAATTTTTTTTATAATAACGAATAACAAAAGTAAAACAACCATGCACATTGAGAATTTGTTTTTTATCTCCACTATTTGATGGATCTAAATCTGATGGTTTGATAACAGGAGTTATAGAGTAACTACAGTTATTTGATCTAAGCTGTTATGACAGCTTTTTCTTGAGATTCTCTCAAATCTGAGAGCTTTATCTGCTTAATCTGCCCTTTAAATGTTTTATCACCACAAAGGCACGGTTACGTTATCTTCTTATTTCTAGCATAAAATAATGACACACTACACACAGGTAGATCGTCCTTTTGGTGTATGTGAAGCATTCTGGACAATGTTTAGACTCTTGTAACCTCCTCTTAGCAGCATGTAGTGTATACATTTCCTCCAAAAACTTCTTCCATTGCATTGACACAACTGCCAAATTGAATCCATACAAACAAATCTTACAAAACCACCTAACATGCACAATGATGCTCCAGCTTTTATGGCTGCATGTAAATAGGGCTGCACGAATACATACAGCAGTACACAGCACTATTAAAAGTAACATAAGGCGGATGCACCAAGTTTGATGTATTATTCAGTGGCCCCCTGTGGGTGTCTTTAACCGGTGCTGCAATCACAATGTTTGTGCTCAAATGCTGTTTATATGGATTCAAAATGAAAAGGTGCCACACGTACAGTGCACACTAAGGCTCTTTGTATGACCACAGGATGAGCAAAAGCATTAAATGTATTTTACTTCAAATTAGTTTATTTCAAGTGCTGGAAACAGCAGAGAACAACGGTGGACATTTTTCGCTCCTTCAGTCCAACACAAATGTTGCCAAAAGGGGAAGCGCAAGTCACTAATCACGATAAGAACATCAATGGAAGCTATCACAGGCTTCTGCTTCATATCTGCTGTCCTAATTAAAAAACAGGAAAAGGATCTCATTGTTCATTGCCACTGTGATGTATTACCATCCTCACTATTGATCTGCATGTTTTTTTTCTTTCCTCCTTCTCCGTTTCTCCCACACACACTTAGCGGTTTCGCACCTGCTAATGAGAAAAATCTGTGGCCAGTGCATCACGTGTGCTTTTCTTTTTGTCACACAAGCACACGTAACATGTTTCAGGGGAGGAAAAAACAAATAACTCAATAATGCAAATATCTAATAAGCTTCTTTATGTCTGAGGGCTGTTGGGCTTTGTCTTGAACATTACGCACAGAGCCGATTACCCAAAAGACTCAATGACATTGTACTATGTGTCTAACTCCCTTTTAGAGCGTGAATGAGCTTATGGCTCACAGTATGGGTAGTCAATCAGTGAGCCTCTGCACAAAACCTTTAACAATATTATAGTAATAGCAAAAATGTGTTAGTTTCCTAAAGTAGTGTTATGATTTTTGTAGTCATTCTTTCCTGCACACACATGCATTACGTCCTGCCAGTCATCAGTCAGCCACAGATACTTACACGTGTAGTTTGGCTGTCAGTGCATCCTACACTCTGCTACTCAAGGGAGTATTCGCCTTGTCAGTCACCTTTATAACCCGTCGAAAAAATCTTTTGACCCCTAATTATGGCCTATATTGAATCTTACACCTCGCGTTTCGTAGTAATTTGTCTCTCCCTCTCGTTTCATTACTTTTTTTAAATCTCTCACTCATAATCGCAGATGCCAAGTCTGCAACTATGTAAACCGCAAATCTACCAAAATTACACATTGCCACAATTTAGCTTGCAATACTGACAGACGATACAGAACAAGTGGGGTTCTTTCACACACTCACCACATGTGAGACTTGTCTGTTTTTAACTTCCTTAAAGCACCAGAAGGGAAAAAATCCAATCTTAACAAAATAAGGTCATCTGGGATTTTTTTTTTATCCAACACTTTTGTTCTTTCCAGTACTTGAGAACACTATCAAGTATCGGAAAGAACTCAAGGGAAGACCCTTGAGTCCCATGTCCCCTGTAGTTCCTTCTCTGCTGCCAATATCCATCTGTCATGGCATTTGAATCGTGCAATTGCAGAGAGGCAAAAAAACAATCTTTCACAGGTCTGATCCGTTTGCTCTGAGGTTTAAAGTGTGATTTAGAGTAAATAGAAATACAACCACAGTGGTCAGAAATAAATAAATGCATTTGTGTAGTTATAAATAAACAAATAGGTCTTTCATTTATCTATTTATTTATGGTGATTCAGTGACCTTGTCATGCCGCCTAATGCCAAATGTCTGTTGCCTAGGAGATCGTTAATGTCTCAATGTCACTTATCCCTGAGGAGAAGAGAGGAGGGTTTTTACAGCAGTTTGGGTTGGAATTTCCAGGATTAAAAGAATAGCTAAACAGGAAATGTAGTATGCTTCTGTTTGTAAGCAGAGGCCAGGGGACATGTCTGTTACGTTAAACTATAAATACAATTTATGCATGAGTTTATGGTCATTAATAAAATGAAAGCAGCAATATTAAAAAAAACACTGCGCACTGTAAGAATTGATTGAACTAATGAGAGACAGACTAATACATCTATTCAGCCTTCTATAGTAATGATTCATTTACAATCCCCTACCTTCTGTCATCCCCACCACACCACCACCCACTCTGAGCCTCCTCCCTGCTCTTCCCCTCTCTGATGCTTCGTCTCCCCTGCTCGCTCTATTTCCCTGTAACTCGCCTCAGTGTCTGATGCAATGCGTTACCAACCCGGAGTGCATTTCTCCCATTCAGACACAAAGGGAGCAGGAGTGTTGGGTCGAGAAAGGAGGGGGGGGTAGGTTGGGGGGGGGTTAGTATAGTTGGGGAATGATCTCCTGGATGTACCAATCCCTGCTGTGCTCCGGGGACACATACCAGATAAAGACCAGATAAGCCTGACAAAGGCAGCAGTGCCAAGGCGCGGGAGTTGGCATGAGAGCGAGAGCATGGCGCGGACAGTAGGACCAAAGCGCCCCCTGTTGGGGATCACGTGCATTAAGCAGAAGTGAAGGAGAGACAAAGAAGGTGTTGATAGAGGAGGTCATTATATGCCTAACTGAGCAATGTTCCCTCATGGTATGAAAGCACTGATGATCCTGGATCTGCAGAGGTTGTCAAAACCCACACTGTCTGTGGGCTAACATTGCAACGACAGAAACAAGAGATGGTGTGTGTGTGTGTGTGTGCGTGTAGATGTATGTGTGAGAGAAGGAGATAAGATAACAAGATGGTATTTAGGACCTATTGTGTAGTGCCAGAAGTGAATACTGATGTAGCATTTACATTAATAAATGCACTGATAATATATATGAATACATATACTGTATATATATATATACTGTATATGTATATATACACTGATAATATATACACATATATACACATATATCCATGACATTTCTCTCTCTATATAAATATCCATAACATTTCTATTTGTTTTCGTGTTAGTATGGAAGAACATTTCTCTTTCTCCTCATTTCTCTTTCAAACTTTGCTTTCGGGATATTCAATAATTCACAGAAAGAACAAGTCTGACTTGGCTCAGCAGGGGGCGTAGAACATATTCCAACAGAACTGTAGAAATGAAGGGGAATTAACATGATGGCAGGAGTCTCAGGCACACACATAGACAAAGCTCTGCAAGAACTAAAACCTGGGTATAACTTTCAAACAGCTATATCATACCCACACACACAGGTAGAGTTCTCTCTTCTAAGTAACTTCGTGTCACAGACAATAATGTAGAAAATAAACTGAAATTGGGAAACACAAATATGGAAATGTTCATAATGCACCAGTTTCTTTCATGTAAATTGTAAGATAACTACACAAAATAAAGTTTAATTTAGCAAACTGTTAGATTAATAATCACCTAAACGGTTTTAATTTCATACTACTATGATACTAACTTCAACAGAGCTGTAGCCAAGCAAGAGCAAACATTCCACCCTTCAGGCTAACATTAAAACAACCCCAGACAAAATGTAAAAGAGACAGACATAATGTCACCTCCAGCAGACAACTCATGCTGATTGTAACTGCCCCACCAACAATACAACCTTCCACATTCTTCCTTCAAGGTTTTTTTAATGTTACACAAGAAAACTGTGGTGACAAATCAGCCGACGCAGCGTATGGCCTCCTTATCTGTTTGATCATGAGACATCAGCAAAGTCTTAAGTTCTGCCGGCTGTTGTTCAATTTAATTATATCTAATCGTTCAAGTTTATCATTTTCAAAGTAAGGCCAACTTGTTAAATTTAACAGTGTAGCCGCTTTCAAATCAAAGTGTCATAAAAGCCATAAGAAAAGGACCACGGTAGCAAAATGGGGAGCACAGATGCCCCATTCCGTCTCTCTACTTTCTCCTGGGGGATCCCTAACCGTTCCCAGGCCAGCTGGCAAACATAATCTCTCCAGTGAGACCTACATCAGCCACAGGCTTCCCCGCTCACCACAGAGGACATAACAGTGACTGCACCAGTGCATCCTTTTCCCATCACTCACGAGACTTCCCTGTATCATTTTTGGAGGGAACAATCCATGCCTCTTCAAAAGTATTCACTCCTTTTAGAATGAAAAGTGCTTCCTTTCTTTCATATTCAGCCATTCATTGACCCCTTTGCAATAATCTGCATTGATCACTATAATTCATTTAGGTGTAGTCCTTTATTTCATCACCTTTATATGTAGTATATTTCACCATGACAGTGCTTTTAGGTTCAAACTTGTCACAATCACATCAGTTCCCCTCTCTTTTCTCCTCATGGTACAAACTGGGAAAGTGACAAACACACTCACTTAGTGGGCCTCACTGAGAGGCTTCCACCTGCTCTTAAGAGCTGAACCAAAGTTTCCACAGCTCATCACACCACACTGCACTTGTCAGCAGCTTTGTAGTGTGAGAGTTTCCTGTGCATTTTTTTAATTGTATCACATCAGGATGATAAAGCAATTTACAGCTTCCCTGTCAAAGTAACACAGTAAATTCAAACAGACTGATTGTATTTGCTGTTGCTGCCTTCCTGTGATATCAGAAGTATTTCTTCAGTGAGCTATTTGATAGTGAAGTGGTTTGAATTACTTTGACGTTTCCTATTTGAACATTGCTCTGAAAGATATGTGAGGAGTGTTCATTTAGCCGCATGTTGACGCGAGCCTTTGTATTTAAATGCTTAAGCTTGTTCTATACTGATTGTCAGGACAAAATTGTCAATAAAAGATGATGAATTAAGAAAAAGGGAAGAATATTTCATCTTCACTGGCACTTAATGCTGAAGTGGGAAGCCTGAACTGTGAGAGGGAAGTATAATGGCTCAAGCAACAAGTTGAACTGTCATCACACCCGCCCCTCTTTTCTTCTTCTGTTTCAGAGTCTCTGTCTGTCTCCCACGCTGCCATCACAAAAACACAGCATGTCACATAAACAGACACGCTCGCACACCCAGTGAGAGAGCTGTGTGAGCTCAGCTTTGCTCACACCTCTGGACATCATTCAGTGCTCTGGTGTAGTCTTATAGAATTTGCCTGCTACTTGAAAATCAAGAAGACCGACTCACATGACAGCAAGTCACGCTGCCTTTCTGTTAGACAAGTTCACATGGTCACATGCACTTTTAAGAGTCACGATAGTTGAAAAAAAAAACATGCAGAAAGGCGCATTACTTGCATATCAGTGTTGTTCTTACCTGTTGCCTAAAGATTTTCCTTCCAGCTCGTTTGGCTTGAAAAACCATTTCCCGATCCTGACAAAACCTTTATCCATCAAACATCTGTAGAAACACACACAAAAAAGCCGACATTAGGCATCTCTCTCACGTGTACAGGAGTTTAAGACCATGAGCTTAAAGGACTCAAGCACTTATTTAGTATTTATCTCGAATTGCTTATTTGATACGCTTTTAATATAGACATAAATGAGAAGCATTTCGGATGAGACGTGAAGGGTATTGCATTTCCAAGAAGTCCAGCGGTCTTTAATCAAGCTCTTAGGATTAGTATGACCTGGATGACTGAGAATCTACACCTACATAAGCTCATAATCTATTAGACCGAACAGCAAAGGTGGTGCAAAGGCCTAATGAAACGCAAGCGTTTATTCCTCTTCTTAAGCATTCATGCATGAAAATGATATAAAACTCATGCAGAGTTCTAGAACAGATAAAAAAGATGATAATATTCTTTCCTTTCCGTGGCCCTGCTAACTGCAACCACAACCAAAAAGGTAATTTCTTTACATTTTCACTTACAACTTCTGAACAGTTTAGTCCTGACACTACCAAGTTAGTCAGAATATCTGTCCGCCTTTGTGAAGCAAAATCTGATTTTAAGTTTAACTTTGGCCTTCTTTCAAGCCTCATACTTTAAGTGACTCATACTACTGGACAAGAAATGCGTGTATCTTGAATTCAACTCAAAATTCTGACCACAAAGTTACATAACAAACGTTCAGGCTTCTCTTTTGACCAGGACTACCTAAAAACTGCTACATGGAACAGCAACCGAGGCCCCTCATAGTGATTAAGTTCCCCTCGGTGCTGCCAAGGTGAGAGGGCGCTTCATTGCTTCTCGCAGCTTTAATTTGTACAGAAGCAAGGACTGTTATAATGCTAAATGTTTGCACACCTAAAGATATCAGCTTTCTGACAAGTGCAGAGGAAAAGTAAAGGTGTTGTGAAGCAAATCTACCTGTGCCAAGACAGTTTTCACTTTCACACATATCTTTCCAAAGCGCTCTTTCATCAGACCCAAATGTGAGCACATCAAAGTTTAGTTTGGCCTTCGTGCTCTCAGTTTGACAATCCTGCCATCACTTCTGATTCCTCCCGCAGACCTAACACAGTTCCCTCAGATGATAGACTTGTCTCTGTGTGCAGGTGCCAGTGAATTCCCCTCTGAGTGCTCGACCTCGGTCACAGAATTACAAAATGATTTTATGGATTATGGATAGTTGTCTGCAGTCTGCTGTGCTCACCTATCCAGAGCTTTCCAACTCTGCCACCTTTAGGGAATTCTTACCAACCCATTTTTATATCTTTGCGTATAGTTGCTCAGTGCATTTGTGAACCTTTTTCATTTTTTTGTCAATTTAAAAAGTGTGGGCTTCTAATAGGAGCAGTACAGTACAACAGTGTTTATTATATCTGTCCATCTCTAATGAGGGAACCTTCAAAATAAGATAAAGTATGAGACTATATGGAATATCATTTTCAATTAGTGAAAGTATTTTTATACAGATTATCTAGATTGTATTTACACCAACAGTTTTCTGGTTGACATCATATTTATAAAGTCTAAATTAACAATATGATTAAAGTCCAAACTGCTCGACGGCACACTGGGATGCACATCACATATTTCTCACGTTCTTCATGTTCTGCTGTTCAAATGAACAGTTTGCATATACAAATAAATCTATAACAAAAATGTTCATACTTTGTTATGCAATGGCCGTCCTTATTAGATCAAGCCCCTGGGATATTTTTTTTTGCGATTTGTGTGCCAAATGATCAGTTAAAGACCACTCTGAATGCTCTTTGGTTAAAACTGCGGTCATGTAGCAGACTCCCACTGTTTGATACGCAGACAGCAAAGAGCCTGAAGTCACAGCAGTGAAAGCAGATGAGGTGAAATATTACATTGTTCGATAGCTGCCTACAACTATTCTTGCAGAAGAGCAAAGAAACCCCTTGAAAGATAAAACCCCTCCACCACATCAACTGTTCAACAAGCTAAGGCGTGTAGAACAGTGATAATGCTGTGGCTTTAACAGATTGGTGAACCTATTAATATTGCGTATTCAGTTTCTGGAGGAGCTATTGAAGATATCCATTTGAAGTTTTCTCTCCTCCCGTTTGGTTTCCTTTGGGAAACATCCCTCTTTTTAGCGGCTCTATGGTCCACTGGTCATCTTCTTTGTCTGGTGATTCCATGCTTTAGTCATAAAAAAGAACCAGCTTCATGCTTCTGGAAATTAAACTGGTGGCTGTCAAAAGGTGAAATCAAAACCAACTAGGAACCAACCGACCCTGAAAACTACATAACTGCACAACTACACATCTTTTCCAATTAATGAAAGTATTTTCTACACATATGTGATAATATAATAATTGGTCTGGATTTTATTTACATCGAATAAAACTGCTTTTTATTTGCAGTTGTATTTTTTTTGTTATTATAAGCAAATCCTTTCACAAGATATTCAATCTGAAGCATTTATTACATCAACGCTTGATTGAAGTGTGTATAAAACTATCATATTTATCTAAGTTGTTTTGCCCACCCTCAGTTAACTTTTGGCCACAGATCGTTACCCAAATGTTCATCACAAAAGCAGTAAAACTTAATTAACAAATACAATTTAAATCGCTTGGCATCTTAATGCTCTTAATTACTTCCAATCCTATAGCTGGGCTCTGGAGGAGGTTTTCACAATGTAAATTATTTATTTTAACTTGAAGAATATATTTTTATTATAATTACTTTATACATTCTGCCTCTTGCCACTTTTAAATACACTATAATCAATGCTCTCATATGCTGATGTCTGTGCAGTTTCAAACTATGGGAATCATTTATATCCACCAATAAATGACAATAAACTTAATTGCATACATTTAAATGTCTGCTACAGTGGGCTATAAATCAATCCCAACAAATCTGGTGAAATGTGTTTCACTTTCTGTGGAATCTGATTTGTTATAAGCAATATGAGGCTAATCTAACAAGCACCCTTCCTCATTCGGCAAAGGCAACATCCTAAAATGTTCAGCACACCATGATCATCAATTATTACTCATTATTTTATAACCATTATGGTTCGTATTAATTTATGCTCGTTTTTCTTACTTCTTATCGTAATGTTGCCAATAAATTATCATTCTGAGAGGTCAGTTGTATGTATTTGTGCAGCATGAAAGAGGAAGTGAAAGTGATCTCTCTGCTGTTGAAACAGTGAGCTATAAAAGGAGTCAGCTTCAAGGTAATAGGAAGGTTAATTCAGCCTGCCCCCTATGATGATCACTGATGCTTAACTTAATAGAGAGCAAATATGTGCTGCTTCATTTAACAGATGGCTCTGACTCAGAAAGAAGAGCTTTGGGTACTTGAGCAAGTGATTCAGCACTCAGATTGTAATTTCATTAGAGTGCATCTTATGACAGAAAACAGAAACTGTTCTTCTGTTAAGTTGTTTTGCTCAATTATTTCTTTCTCAGAATTTGAAATAATTTATTCATTCAAGACTTGGGGATGTACAGTTAGTGGTAGATATGCAATCTAAATACAACAAATAAACACACATTTGATAAAAGAATTTAGTCTATTACCCCAAATTAAAATGTACACAGTAGATACAGTACCTTTGATGGAAAAGGATTTAATGCCGCAACTTGTTTTTCGATTGTGTCATCAAAGATACTGATGTTCTTGAATTTAACAAGTACACTTCAAAGGTTCCTGATCTTGCTTAGAGTTTTACCTGAATAGGTGTAAGTGCTTTAATGCTTAGTTATTTCACATTCTTAAGTTGCTGCATCAGCTTTTGTCACCTACAAAGAAATGCTTATGTTTTGCTCTTTTGTGTTTAAAGTCCTCTCCTTAAACTCAAGGATGTTCTGATTATTAACTGAACAAACAATGAAATGCCTGGACAATGCATGTTTCAGGTACTTTAAGAGAGAACAGTTCAGTTTGGGAAAAATAAACTATTGCTGTTCTTTTGAACAGTGCCGTACATAGTCATATCACAGTGTGGGCTCACCAGGCGTATTGGCTTTATTTGTGCACATCATGCACTTCCTAATCCTTCAGACCTGTTGAACTCTCTGCAAGAGACCCAGTCGCAAAACTCATAGAAGTGACAAGTTGAGACTGCATCCGTCACGTATTTCCTGTGTGACCTGTGTTTCCTTTTGGTGCTCTCTTTGGAATTAGTTAGAAGGGTTTTCTCACTAATGACACCCACATTGTAGTACCATGACTGGAGTGAGTCAATAACACCTTAACACCCGTGTAAATAATTTCTGTTTTAAGGTCATGATTTCCTAGTGATCAATGCAACTTAACCTCTCTGACACTTCATATGAGTGGAAGCAGTGCAACACACTGAAACCAAAATGAGCATCTGACAATTCTGAATTTAAATTGTGAAAACAGACGGCACTACATTTGTTACTTATTGTTATTTAAACAACTCCAACTTCCCATTTTATTTGATGATGCTTTTGCTTATGTTGTGTTGATAGTTTTACCTTTCCAGCAGATTGTGTATGGCCTTGAACAGAAGGGTTCTGCACTCGTACGACAGCACGCACTCACAAAGTCCCTCCTCAGCCACTGAAAGAGAAGAGGAGGAAAAAATATGTCACCAGTATCACCACAAGTAATTCCAGTATTGTGGTGACAGCAAAACAGCAGCACAAATCAACACAATTCAGTGTTAACTACGTTTGTTTGTGGACAACAGTCAAAAGAGGATGGGCTTACTGATGAGAACATTCACACGTCATATCAGAAATCAGGGTGATGCTTGTGCATGAACATGTGTACAGATGTTGCTTGGCTGTACGACTGTCACATTGGCTGCAGCAGCTGCCCAGTCAAACTCTGTGCAGTTGTCAGCTCCTGTTAGCTGAAGAGTGAGAGAGCGCCTATATCTGCGTGCTCAGGTTCTCACATGCACGCACAGCCGGAGCCCAACACCCTTTTTTTCTCCTTTGAATTTCAAGTGTTTGAAGACAAATGTGTTGAAATCAACCTTGCCCAAGCCATTGATATGCCAGCAGCTGCTTCACAAATGTGTCAAATGTGTCTTGAACAATTCTGCTGCCTCTGGATTTCTGAAACCCCTCCCTAAAACCAGCCCGGTACCCACCCCCATTGCCTTCCGCCCCAAAGAAGAGATACACACTGACAAATGCAAACACAACGGGCAGTTAGCAATGTTTCTCTTTGTTCTTTGCCATATACCTGCAGGGCTGCTGGAAGAACTGGAGGATTGTGGGTGGGTGTTGTGTTTGCTTTCAGGGTGGTGGCAAACAGACCAAGCATCACAGAAATACACAAAAAAAAGAAGGAATGAGAAAAAGAGGTAGAGGCAGATCGCCTGGGGGATGGGTGGCTGAAACCCCAGTAGATGTTTCCTCTTTCTTCCTTTTTTTTCTGTCTGTCTCCTTTCTCTTCTCTCACAATTTTCTTTTATTAATTTTTGTGTGCGTGTGTGTATGTGTTTGTTGGGGGGGGGAGGTGGGTGTACTCCTTTCCCCTCCTCTGTTGCTTTGTTGATATTTCTCTCCTGTTTTTTTTTTCTTCTTCTTCTTCATACCGGAGTGAATGAAATTTCCTTACTCGCCAGAATTACCCCGTAACCATGGAAACGCTGGCGGTGAGAACATGGCGCCCTGGCATTCAATTTCAACACTGGTCCCTCCCGCCCCTCACCCTCCTCCTTCTTCTCCTTCCTCTGTTCCAACATCCCTCCGCCACCACCACCCTTCCCCCCTCCCACCCACCCCTCATTTACTCCTGCTTCAGGGCTCAGACAGGAAGCTCTTTCTAGCCAGCTCTTCCACAGAGGAGAGAGATACAGCGAGCACCATGAGCAGAATGCCAAGTCTCCAGAAAATCCAGCTCATTAGCTCACACTGTCTCTATATCTCCTTCTCTCTCCTGCTCTTAAAAATCACCCAACTTTTCTTTTTTTTTTTTTTTGCTCTTACCAACTCTCCTAGCTCTCTACCAGCCACCTTCATTCACTCTGCTCATGGGCAGCTCAGCAGAGGGCTCCTGACCCCTATTACTCTAAAACTATGTCACTGACTCCTTACCCCAGCCTTTTTCAAGCACTTCCACCCAAAAGCTGACAAGACTTAACCTCTTAACTTTGAGAAGACTTAAAGGATCCTTTTTACATTTGCCCTCTCAACTGTCTCAGCATACAGTGTGTACTACAAATCTCAATAGACAGCAGCATATTTTTAGGAGCCTGAAAACATGCAATCCACATTAGACACTCATGTTTATAGTGTAGTTGTCAAAGAGCCAGCTCACTGCACCACATCAACTCAAGGTGTGACAAATCGCTGTAGCGAGAAATCAAGGTCAGGCATCCACACGAGCGCCTGCACACAACGCCACACAATTATCATAAATACAGAAAAAGCGGGTGTGAAATAAAACATTTATCAGATATTTTAAAGCAGAGATATCCCAAAGGGGTGTGAGACACACCATGAAACTGACATTTCACCAACAGTCAGCCAGTAACCACCATGTTTTGAGTTTTGCTGCCAGTTAATCAGAGGAAGAACACAGATGGCCCGAGGGAGAAGCATGCTGTAAACACTAAATGCCCTGCTAAGTGCAATAGCATCACGATCCATCATTCATCAGACGACAAGTGCATCATGTCGAAAATATTTCAAAGGAGCCGAACATAATCAACCTTGGACTCTTCGACATTAATGTACATTCAGCTCATGTAGGGATCTCTAAATATTTCTGTCATGAAGTATTAAAGTTTCATCAATTTAGTTTCACTTTCAAAGCCACAGCATTCCCTGCTTTACAGCTGCAATCATTTACAAAATTGTTTGATGTGACTTGAAATTAGTGATTAGACACAGAAACTTGGAGGGAAAAAAAACACGGACAGTCGTGTCTTTTCACACAATTGACTAAATCTGTGATCACTTGCTCAATCAATCAATAAACATTCCAGTCTTACAAATTCCAACATCTGAAAACAATCCCAATCCCTACAAGTTGTGCAGTTAAAACAGTTTGTATGTAACCCAAAAAATTAAAATGATAGTTTTGGTGGTTGCCAACGTGCATACCATCCACATTAAGATAAAAGATTTTCACTTTGTGGTTACTTTCAGAAAATAAGTCCCCTTTGTCAAAATGAGAAGCTGACAAAATAATTGGGTTGAGTAAGATAACCAATTATAAGTGCAGCTAAAGAACATGTACATTTGTTTCATGATGTCATGGATACCAGACTCACCCTTTACTCTCCAGAACACTATAGGCTGTGCTGAACGCGGTTTTTAGCGGAATCTGCTTGCATAAACCTGCCCCACATAAGCACATTTTGGTGAGGACCACAGTTTGCCTGAGCCACAGTTATTTTACCCTAGGCTCTACTTAAGCTGTAGAATGTCTCCAAACATGACATTTTTATTGGCTATTTAACAAAATGAAATGAAAACAATTGTTAAAAATTTCCAGTTTAATTTGTCCTATTATTCAGAACTTACGACAACATGAATGGAACAACTTGAACGCATCAGGTCTGAATAACTCACTGGTGATGGCGTTCCGCTCTGATGATTGTAAAATCTTTGTTTTGGATAAATAACTGAACAATGAAAATGTGCAATCAATGCTGCAATCAAATGTAAACCAGAAAAAAGATAAAACATTATTTGACTATTGTTCTTCCAGCAAAATACCCGCTGAATAATCTTGATATTTACAAATCAATCAATTAGATGTATAATTAGAATCATTGTGAGCTTGTGGAAGGAGCTCAATTTCCTTTTTTCTCTATCTGCAGTGTGTGTGCTGTAACACTCCTAAACACACGGAAGCACTGCGCTTGACTTTGCATGATGCAAGATCGCATCCTCACAAATGCATTTCTTTCACACAACCTTCCTCCCTCCTATCCCCGTGCCACAATGCTCTTAACTGCCGCACCACCCCAAACACAAACAAGCAGTGATGGAACTGGGTCGCCACTTCCACTCGTTCTTTACTTCCATCTCTCTTTCTCTCTTGCCCATCCACCGCATCTCAGCCCAGCTTTGCATCTCTCTTTGTTTGTCGCTCTTTTTTCTCTTTTACATCCTCTGACTGTGTTGGTCTCACACCACCAGAGGGACTGAAAACTCAGTGCTTTAACAATGTGAGAACAAATACAAAGATGGTATTGATCTGAGAGAGGGAGAAGGAGCTGAGTTGTGACAACACTCCGTCTCACACATGATGACCCCGGTTCTTACTTTTCTTACTTCTCCTTCTCTTTCGTTTGATTGTTTCTTTTTGATCAACAATAATAGCAGTTTTATTTATCCAAGGTGTATGATATAGGTTAACTTCTGGAATGTTTGTGAGTGATGTCACACAACCCCTTGATGCTATTTTAATAATTACATGCCCTGGAGCATGTCTGAGCAGAGGCTCAACAATAAAATGTTCACCCTTGTTGTCCATGTATTACCTCTAACAATGTGAAATAAAAGCTACTATTTGAAATAAAATTATAATTTTCATTTAGACTATTTAGAAATCCTATCAGAGAACATTTCAAACCCCAGATCTGCTCTTTGGTAATACGGAGAGAAACAGCAAATCTCTAACAAGGCCAATTTTTACATAATACTCACTTGGACATCACAATAATAGAAACAGAAATCTGCCAGGAGTAACAACAGGACTGGTAGAAGGGGGGGGATGGCTGCCATAAATGATCATTTTATAATTTATTCTGGTTGATAATTTGGCAGTAATGAGGTTATGCAGCGAGGCCCACAAAACAGAAAACCAACGCGCTATTTTGTGAATGTGTTCATGTTGAAAGAGAACAGCAACCATTTGACAAAATTTTCCTCTGAAGGACATTTTGCCATTTTATTTGGGATGGTAAAGTAAGTTTAATGCAAATTAGTATTTTTCCTTTAAACTTCTAGTTTGCAGAGGGTAAGTCTGCATATCTGCTAGCTGTAAGACAACAAAAGGACATCCATGTGAGAGGAAAAGACCATGTTTAACATTAGAATATTCATATCATGACAAATTATCCACAGAACCATGCATTATCATCAATGTTTTCTGAATTGCTTTCTGTTTATCAGTGATAAAATGTCAAGATAATCTTTATTATGCTAATACTTAACCTTCCTAGAGGAGGAGAAAGGCCCGTATCGGCCAAATCTACAGGACTGATAACAAATGACATGGCAATTTAATGGACTGATAACAATCTAATTGAGTGGAACTATGACTGTAATCAAATTTTGGATGATGATTAAATGTCATACTATACTTAAAATAGGATATTCCATTTTAGATATCTTTGTTCTGTCATTTCTTACACATTTTTCTTATAAAAGAAAAGAAATGTGCAGCTTATGAAGTACAATATACACAGCAACCTATGTTTACATTAACATTTACATATTAAGACATTTGTATCCAAAGCAGTTTACAAGAATACCAGAGAATGCACCTGTAGGGAGTGTGGGGTTCGTTGACTTTCCTAAGAAAGTTGAACCACCAACATACTGACTGGTGAGTGACTTCACTTCCTCCTGAGCTACAGTTGAAAATACTA